GTTTATAAAATTTGACCATTTTCCAAAAATAATTTGATTTTGCCAAAAACTATTTTCTGAAATTTACAGGTCGTACAATACAAATTTGTGTGTATAGTATGCGATTCATTGTGCGGTTCATTCCCTTATTTCTACGATACAAAATAGTTTCACGATATTTTTTATGTTTTTCGATATTTATACGGGCTTTCGACACACGCTGATCGTTTATGACGCATGGTATCGTTATTGCTGCAATAAACCGGTTTCTCTGCGACGTGTCCTTGACTCCGCGCAAGCGAGGAGTATTCACACGGGGCTAGTAGAAGAGGGAGATTAAAGAGGCAGTATAAAACATTCCAAAGGTACTGTGGGTGCAGACATTATCCTCTTGTAGGAAGACTGTTCTTCACGGAAGATAACTTAACTATTTAATGTTCTTTATAGGCTGCCTAATTGGTGTCCTTTTTTAATCACATTGACAGGCCGAGTCACCTTGGCCTCCTTCAGAGTAGAAGTAGACCACCTGCTTCTGTCTCAGGTTTTTAGTTGCATTACTCGTATGAACGAATACTCGGAATAATGTTTTGCTAATCATGTGTCTTGACGTTTGCATATGTCTTTGACATACACACACATACCACCACCACCCAATGGAACCCGATTATTAGTGAATGTTGGGCCGCATAAATGTTCAATTTTCTGTCCTGGATAGCCGAGGTTGCTGAGGATGAAGAGCCGTTGCTGCTTCGTCTGAACTGTCGCGGGTTCGAATCCCGTCTGGGGCATGGCTGTTAGTGTGTCTCCGCATACCGTTAACGTTCCCCCCTATGTCACTTAATGTGGTCGCCATATGACCTTAGCAGTTGAAAAGCTACCTTAAATAAGTAAAAAATGAATTTAAGTGCTTAGCCTCTGCCTGTATTCTAACACAGAAATACGAGTATTAAAGAAAAAACCCTGATCCATTTTTTAAGATACTTCTGAAAATGTCATTGGTGATTTATGTAAAGTACCTCCAAATATTAAAATATACGTTTCTAGAGGCTGAATCATCACTCAGATCGATGGCGAATATTCATTTTGGTGACGATCCTGATCCGTACCGTTTTGGGGCTAGTGTTGTTCACGGGACATTGGGGGCTTTGAGAAATCCAATCAATATCAATTTGGGCACCAATGACCCCAAAAGGGGTATTATAACTGCACTAAATATTGAAGAAAGTAATTTACTATGTACTGAAGCGAGAGAACCTCACTTCGTCGCTATCAGGGATCCACAAAACTTATTTTCTGTCAAAAAATCGGGAATTTTTTCTGCAGTATTACATAACTTTCTCGTACTGCCGGTCCAGATGGCCGAGATCGTTAATTCAGTAATACCGTAGCGATCTGGGACCGAATGATCGCGAGTTTGAGTCCCGACTCGGGCATGGTTGTATTTGTTTTCGTCCTTTCATCCCGTCATCACCATATCTGCCATCATCACAGTTACCATACCGTTAAATGTAACAATGGTCGCTAATGACCTAAATATTGATACGACCATAACAAAAAAAGTTTTCTCGTACTACGTGTTAATAACGGGAAAGTAACTCGTGGTAGTACAACAGCACATAGTTTCTCTAATTATTTGTAACGGGTACTTAATCTTGATATTTGCAAATTGTATCTTATTAATTCTTCGCCCATTTCATAAAACACCCTCTTTACCACAAAAAGCGCGGCAATTTGAATTTCCGCAAGTTCAAAGGCAATAAAAATCGGACGAATGCCATATTTATAGGCTTCGCTCGAATAAATATTTTTAAGATAAATAAAAATCCTTGGCAATGGCAATGGCTGGTTTCGATCCTCGACTTTCAGATTGGAAGGCCGGGGTACAGCCTCCTGCAGACCAGGGATACTCAAACCCCAGATTTCGAGTCATACTGCCTGTGGGGGAGCTCACTGTTGTTGCGCGTGCCACTCGCCTTTCACTAGTGTCGATAGATAGAGGTTCTTAGATCTAAGAGTATTTGGTCTAAAGACAGTAGGTCTAATTTTGTAAGTCTATTGACAGAAGGTCCACGAAATGACGCCTAAAACAAATTTTGTCTAATTATTAAAAAATCTCGAAATGTTGTTCAACACACTCGAATGTTTAACTCATTTTGGTTTTAAATACATAACACAATAGTGTCCACATTATTATGTTAGTGTATTATCGTGGAGGAAATATAGTATGTCCTTTCTTTCCTCTGTGTTATCTAAAATGATCCAGAATATGGAGTGATACATGCCCTATTAATAACGGAGTGATGAGAGAACTTTGTTATTCCTCTGATCTCTTTTTGGGTATTCGAAATATTTCTGCGTGGACTCATGGTGACAATTTTCTGAAACTGAGGACATTATAAGGACTGTAGACCTGATGTATAATTAAACTATATGTGCCGTACCTGTTGAACATCCTGTTTACCAATTAGACCCTTTCAAATGCTAAACCTCTTGTTATTGGAGTTTTTGTTTCGTAGATCTTCTGCCATATTAGACCTACTGCGCAATAGGCCTCCCTCCTCCCACCCACGCCCCATCCCAACGGTGGGGCTGAGTCCTCAAGCAAGCGGACCACGCCGATTAACCGCAAATAATAATAATAATAATAATAATAATAATAATAATAATAATAATAATAATAATAATAATATAATACACAGAAGAGCTCAAAAACTGGCCCAGTCATGCGTATTGAAATAAAGAGATCTGAACCAAACAGAATACAATTGTTAGATCGGTTACTACAGCTGCTACACTGGCAGGTTATCACGATTTAAGTGAATTTGAACGTGGTGTTATAGACGACGCAAGAGAGATGGGGCATCGCATCTACGAGGTCGCAATAAAATTTGGATTTTCCCTTACGACCGTATACCGTGAATCCGAAAAAAACATCAAACCACGGCATCGCTGCGGCCGCAAAACGATCGTGCAAGAACGGGGTCGACGAAGACTGAGGAGAATCATTCCACGTGACAGAAGTGCAATCCTTCCGCAAAGTGCTGCAGATTTCAATGCTAAGCCATCAACAAGTGTCAGTGTGCGAACCATTCAACGAGACATTATCGATATGGGGTTTCGGAGGCGAAGGCCCACTCGTCTACCCTTTATGACTGGAAACACGTTGCCTGGTCTGACGAGTCTCATCTCACATTGTGTCGAAGGATGGACGTGTACGAGTATGGTGACAACCTCATGAATCCATGGACCCTGCATGTCAACAGGGGACTGTACAAGCTGGTGGAGACTCTTTGATGGTATGGGGCGTGTGCAGGTGGAGTGATATGGGACCCCTGATACGTCTAGATACGACTCTTACCAGGTGATACGTACGTAAGCATCTTGTCTGATCACCTACACCTATTGTGCATCCCGATAGACTTGGGCAATTCTAGGAGGACAATGCAACAGCCCACACGTTCAGAATTGCTACAGTGTGGCTTTAGGAACACTCTTCTGACTTTTAATTCCACTGCCCAACAAAATCGCCAGGCATGAACATTATTGAGCATATCTGGGATGTCTTGCAGCGTGCTGTTCAGAAGGGATCTCCACCGCCTCATACTCTTAAGAGTTTATGAACAGTCCTGCAGAATTCATGGTGTCGATGACCTCCAGCACTACTTCAGACATTAGTAGAGTCCATGCCACGTCGTATTGCAGCACTTCTTCGTTCTCGCGGGGGCCCTACACGATATTAGGCAGGTGTACCAGTTTTTTTTGGTTCTTCAGTGTAATATGCGAGGGCATTTTAGACCGTAAAAATATTCTCACTGCGTAACTCGAAATTACTCCAAATCTACCAATACTTACAAAAAATGTATATGAAATCATTTATAAATCTAATATTGATGAATAGAATACTAATGATAAAGATTTAAAAGAGATTCGCAAACAAATTAACTTTTGCAATTTTCAAAATTTCAAAAGTTTTCATGAAAATAGGACCGATACCCTATTATTAAGTGAACTTTACTTAAACAAAAAATATATATGTAGTACATTACTTCCTCTATCATGTGGAGTAGTCAGAATCTATTTTTGTTGTTTTTTGAACCTGAAAAATCAATTGACGGCGAAACGTATGTCGTGGTTTTGGTTGACGTGGGTGACACTAGCACCTAAACCTTACAGACGATTTTCTTTAAAATTTCTATTCCCGATCGGTGTGAACGATCACTAAGCCTTGCGAGTTTGAGCATTGTATTTGAATTGGGGAGAGTACGAAATGAAGCCTCAACACAATTGTCGCAGTTTTCTCAAGAATTGCTCGAAATGTTTGGATAAAACATTGTCCTTGGATAAAAAACAAATGAATTGAGTTGCTCAGGATAATAACGGCGGATCCCAACCGACCTCTCCCTTTCAGTTAGGAGCATGACGGTTAGCTCCTGCCATATACCTATCATGTGCCGAAATACCGGTCTAGGCGCTTGTTTTCTACAGTCATAGATGTTTTGACAGAATTTGTGTCAAGGTGTCCCACACTTTGGCTTTGACCACACTCTGATTTTGAGAAAGTAATTTTCTATGTATAAGAGGAAGAGAATCCACTTTTTCAGTATCGTACTTAAAATTACAGGTAAATACACTGGACATTGTAATCAAGTTTTTGTTGATGGCATTCTAGAAATGTTTTTAAAACGGTGTAATTAAAACATTTTTATATACGAAAACTTATTTTACATATGAACTCGTATTAATAATACTTGACTCTGAGACTTACGAGAATCACATCTCGTAAGGGAACTGGCGTCCAGCAATCATTTCTGCAGGCTATATGTAACAGAAATGATTGGGATATATTTTTCCAGCACTCTTGCATGGAAATTTGTACTAATTTTAACAGTCTATGGATTGGAAAGGGTACGCGGCTCCTATCGTCGCCTCTTCCAACATTTCTTTCGAACGCCAAACTCTCGCTTTCTCCACTAGTATGTAAATGTCTGTAACAGTATTTTCATTGACATGTTTGATTTCAGAATCTGTTGACGTGTTAAAAACATTCAAGATGGAAAACTCAACTATTGAAGGAACGGAATGTCTTGATGTTGATGAAGATGTAAGTTTAATCCAGTATGATTTATATTATAGAATGTATAAGTAAAAGTAGTGTGGTGGTGATTGGGAGGGTGCATGTGTTTCGTAGGGGTAGAAGGGCGGGTGGGTGAGTGTGTTTGTGTACATGTATTGCAAATGTGTGTGCGTATGTAGATGTATGCAAACGTTGCAGAAACTTCATTTATTCATAAACTTTAAACTTTCAATACGTATAATTGAACTGCATATAACGACATTTGGGCCTTCGCCGTTATGGGATGCTAAAGGCTAAAATAAAAATAAACAAAGAAAAAACGAAATAAATAAATAAATAAATAAATTAGGCCATTAGAATGACGAAGTTGTAACTACAATTTTTGTGAAAATGAGTAGTAAATTCTCTCAGGATTGTTAGTGAACATGACCTCAGCCTCATCTTGAAGTTGGGCGATAGGTGGGCATAATTGGTTGAAAATTGAACCAAACGTACTAGAATTTCCGAATTGTCAGTGCTCACCTGCCTCTTAAACAGAAAATCCTGTGAAGTCAGAATTTGCTGCGTAAAAGTAAGAAATTTCTGTAATAATTGAAGTACTATTTTTATTTTGATAAATATAGGTGATAAGTTTCATTTGAAAATTTTCCTTCGCTTACTGAGTTTCAGACTTTCAACCAAGCACGTGGTACCTCTGATTTTTTATATTATTTTTGTTGCAGTTCCAAGATGCGTGTGAAATCCAACCAGAGTAAGTGATTTGTTTGAACTATTCAACCATGACTCGGTGTACTTTAAGAAGGAATATTAATGTTTATTTTTGATTCACAGACCCTGTTCTATGGACTTGGACACAGCCCTTTTAGAAGCAAAAAAAGCTGTTCATTATTTTTTTAATAATAAATTTGAAGAAGCAAGAAATATTCTTCGACCATGGTAAGAGCAAAACCATAAATGCTCGTTGCGAATGAAGTCTTATTTCTCCGTGATTGCATCCCGTCACTGGCACTCTCACACGTGTATGCACACTCACACACACACGTGTATGCGCGCACACACACACACACACACGTGTATGCGCACACACACACACACACACACATACTCATACACATACATGCTGCATACTACATTCTCATACACACAAAAAGTCTCAGAATAAATGTTGCAAATTTATAGGGCGTGTGAAGGGTAGAAAATAATAATTTTCTGTCACATGTATGTTATATAAATATATAAAGGACACATGACATGTTCCCGGTTCTCGGGAATCCTATTTTCACGAATGGACGTTTTAGCCACAGAACGCTTTTACTGTTTCATGATTCTAAGAATAGTCTGCAGGAGACTCATGTATGTCTATCTTAAAGGCAATACACTAGTTCATTTTGAAGATAAGCTAAAAACAATAATTCAAGCATTTTAGAGTTTTGTTAATTCTTCTAAGTCTTGGATTGTATTCTTCTACGTCGTTGTACCAGTCATTTTCAACAAAATTGCATTTTAAGAACGTATATTTAATATTGATATTGTTACTGTTCAAGAACTAGTGAGCGGCGCGAGATTCTTCCCTGACAGATTACTTGAGCGTTTCACTGATACCACGTCGAAATGAGACGCACTGCGCCGTAGGAAAAGGCGCAGTGTCTGCTGTAGGTTTGAACGTCGCGCCCGGAAGTAACTTTTGTTTCCAGTTTTCCCAAAGACCTATTATCCCTTCGTACAAACTCGAATTGTGTAAAAGTAATGAATGACACTGAATTAATCACTATATCATTTCTTATACATAAAAAATATATATAAAAAATTGTCAAAGTGATTCTCCTTAAAAAACTTTTTTAAAAAGTTAATCACGTTATGAATCAAAAAAATAATTGTCTAGTTTTTATACATAACAGCTAATATTAGAAAGTTGGCCAAAGAAATAATACCTTTTTTGAGTTGGTGTCGAAAGCCACGCCGGAGGCTCTGATGGCAGCGCTAATGGTAAACCACCAGCACTAATGGCGAGAACACACACAGTTAACTCAGACACCGTGTGACCGTTCTCCATGAAAATTGGCACATCTACGTGTTTTTCACCCAGAACGTTTAAATGCTGTTAATTTTGTTGTAACTCCACTAGATGACACTCTAGAACAAAATGAAATATACGTGTTAAATGCAACCCGCAACACTCTGCAGCATTTTTTATCTATATCGGTAAATAACCCCTAAACTAAGCGTTCTAGAACAAAAACTAAATTATTGAGGCCAAAGGCCTAAAAGAAACCTTTCCCATACCATACTCTACGGGATGAACTTTTAAGCATTCTATTACATTTTTGCTGGTCCAGCGCTTCTCAATACTACCCCACCTGCTCAGAGAGAGAAACTACCAGTAAATGTGAATGAGAGGAATAGAGAGAGTCAGAGAGAGAGAGCGAGAGAGAGAGCGAGAGAGAGAGCGAGAGAGAGAGCGAGAGAGAGAAGAGAGCGAGCAGAGAGAGAGCGAGAGAGACGAGAGCGAGAGAGAGAGAGGCGAGAGAGAGAGAGCGAGAGAGAGGAGAGCGAGAGAGAGAGAGCGAGAGAGAGAGAGGGCGAGAGAGAGAGAGGCGAGAGAGAGAGAGCGAGAGAGAGAGAGCGAGAGAGAAGAGAGCGAGAGAGACGGAGAGGCCGAGAGAAGAGACGAAGCGAGAGAGAGAGAGGCGAGAGAGGCAGCGAGAGAGACGAGGCGAGAGAGAGAGCGAGAGAGCGAGAGGCGAGAGAGGAGAGGCGAGAAGAGAGAGAGCGAAGAGAGAGAGAGCGAGCAGAAGAGAGCGAGAGAGAGAAGCCGAAGAGAGAGAGAGCGAGAGAGAAGAAGGAGGCGAGAGCAAGAGCAGAGCGAGAAGAGAGAGAGGGCGAGAGCAGAGAGAGCGAGAAGAGAGGCGAGAGAGAGAGAGCGCAGAGAGAGAAGCGCAGAGAGCAGAGCCGCGAGAGACGAGAGAGCGAGAGATGAGAGAGCGAGAGCAGAGAGCCGCAGAGAGAGAGAGCGAGAGAGAGAGAGAGGCGAGAGAGAGAGAGCGAGAGAGAGAGAGGAAACGCGAAGAGCAGAGGCGAGAGAAGAGACGAGAGCAGAGAGAGCGAGAGAGAGAGAAAGCGAGAGAGAGAAGAGCGAGAGAGAGAGAGAGGGCGAGAGAGAGAGAGAGAGAGCGAAGAGAGAGGCGAGAAGAGAGAGAGCGAGAGAGAGAGCGAGAGAGAGAGAGCGGAGCGCGCAGGGGGGCGACGAAGAGAGAGAGCGAGCGAGACGAGAGAGGCGACGAGAGACGAGCGAGAGCAGAGAGAGAGGCGAGAGAGACGAGAGCGAGAGAGAGAGCGCGAGAGAGAGAGCGCGAGAGAGAGCGAGCGAGAGAGCAGGCGAGCGAGAGAGAGCGAGCGAGAGAGAGAGGGGCGAGCGAGAGAGACCGAGAGGCGAGCGAGAGAGAGAGAGGGCGAGCGAGAGAGCAGAGAAGCGACGGCGAGAAGAGAGAGAGCGAGGCGAGAGAGAGCAGAGGCGAGGGCGAGAGAGAGAGAGGCGAGAGCGAGAGGAGAGGGCGCAGAGAGAGAGAGCCGGAAGCGAGAGAGAGAGAGGCGAGCGAGAAGAGACGAGAGAGGGCGAGCGAGAGAAGAGAGAGCAGCGAGCGCGAGAGAGAGAGGGCGAGCGAGAGACGAGAGAGAGGCGAGCGACGAGAGAGAGAGAGCGAGCGAGAGCGAGAAGAGAGCCGAGCGAGAGAGAGAGAGAAGCGAGCGAGAGAGAGGAGAGAGTCGAGCGAGAGAGAGAGAGTGGCGAGCGAGAGAGAGAGACGGGCGAGCGAGAGAGAGAGAGCGAAGCGAGAGACGAGAGATGGGCGAGCGAGAGAGAGAGCGAGCGACAGAGAGAGCGAGCGAGAGTAGAGAGCGAGCGAGAGCGAGAGCGAGCGAGAGAGAGAGAGTCGGCGCAGCGACGAGAAGAGAGCGAGCGACGAGAGAGTGGCGAGCGAGAGAGAGGCGAGCGAGAGAAGAGAGCGAGCGAGGAGAGCGCTGGAGGGCGAGAGAAGAGACGAGCGAGAGAAGAGAGGGGCGCAGGCGAGAGAGAGAGCGAGGCGCAGAGAGAGAGCGAGGCGAGAGAGAGAGGGGCGAGCGAGAGAGACGCAGCGAACGAGAGAAGAGAGAGCGAGAAGAGCGAGAAGAACGAGAGGAGAGAGAGCGAGAAGAGAGAGAGCGAGAGAGAGAGAGAGCGAGACGAGAGAGAGAGCGAGAGAGAGAGAAGCGAGAGAGAGAGAGCGAGGCGAGAGAGAGCAGAGAGGGCGAGCGAGAGAGAGAGAGAGGCCGAGCGACCGAGAGAGAGAGCGAGGCGAGAGAGAGAGACGAGGCGAGCGAGAGATGAGAGAGAGCGAGCGAGAGAGAGAGAAGAGCGAGCGAGAGAGAGAGAGAAGGAGAGAGAGAGAGCGAGAGAGAGAGAGCGAGCGAGAGAGAGAGCGAGCGAGAGAGAAGAGCGAGGCGAGAGAGAGAGGCGAGCGAGAGAGAGAGGCGAGCGAGAGAGGAGAGCCGAGGCGAGAGAGAAGAGGGCGACGCGCAGAGAGAGAGCGAGCCGAGAGAGAGCAGCGCAGAGAGAGAGGCGGAGCGAGAGAGAGCCGAGAGAGAGGGCGAAGAGATGCCGAGGAGAGCGAGAGAGAGCGAGAGAGAGTAGAGCGAGAGCCGAGACGAGAGAGAGAGAGGCCGAGAAGCGAGCGAAGCGAGCGAGAGAGAGCGAGAGAGAAAGGCGAAGAGAGCGAGAGCGAGCGAGGAAGAGAGCGGAGCCGACGGAGAGAGAGCGAGAGAGCAGCGAGAGAGAGCGAGAGAGAGCGGCAGAAGAGACGGCGAGAGAGAGCGAGAGAGAGGCGAGATGAGAGCGAGAGAGACGGGCGAGAGAGAGCGAGAGAGAGCGAGAGAGCGAGAGAGAGAGAGCGAGAGAGAGAGAGCGAGAGAGAGAGAGCGAGAGAGCGAGAGAGCGAGAGAGCGGGAGAGAGAGGCAGTCACACACAGAGACACAGACTGAGACGGACAGTGAGAGAAAGGGAGATAGAAAGAGAAAGAGGGAGATGAAGGACAACGTTTGCCGGGTTCTGCTAGTATAATCTAATAGTAATACTATGCAAATAAAGTTTGTTAGGAAAAGGGGCTGTGGAAGACTAGTGGTGAATCCAGGGGGACATGACCCCAACCCAAAAGTTTCCATTTTGTTACCTCCCTTTATTTGGAAAAATTGAGGAAAAATTTAAATTTTTGTTGGAATTATGTAATTATTTTAAAAAATAATTTTGTATAGTGTCATATAAACTACAAAAATAATATACAATATTATAACAAATATGTTTATTTAACAAAAATCTATGACCCCCCTCCCCAATAATCAGTTAGATCCGTTCCTAAGACGCCATTTGCTCTGCACTTAGCGTATAAGAGTCTCTGTTAACGCTGCCATAGGAGTCGATGGCTCCACCTAACGTCTGTTTCGCCAAGGTGGTTTCCCAAACTTTTCTAACCCCCAACTGGGAGAGATTGGCATTAACTGATGTCATTGCAGCCCCTTGACTGGGAGGTCCTAGGTTCGAGTCTTGACGGTGGCGGGATTTTCGACACTAACTTGTTGGTTGTGTCGGATTGAGTCGCTATTTGGAGGAAAATTCTAGCGGGCGGCTGCTCTGATCGGTAGTTTTTGTGGTTTCTCCGATCAACACCAGGCGAATGCTGGAGCTACTAACAAACGGGCCACAGACCGCGCGCGATATCACCTTCCTCTTCCTTGTCCTATCCTCGCCCCTTACACACACTTACACAAATACCACACTTCCACATATGCCGGGAGACCCGTCAGGAGCTGAGAGATTGTCCCGGCTGGGGCGGTGCCATACTGGTGGGAGATACCTGGTTGGTGATACCGTCGGCCAGCGGGGGTAGGTCGGCGTCGGATCTCTCCATACAGCGGAGCAAAGATCTCCGCCACCTCCCGAGTAAAAACACGCATTACACTTACGGTACTAATGACCCTGATAGTTGATCTGCTCTAAATCACTAAACAAACAATCAATCAATCAAACCCCCAAAAAGAATTATTACTTCGATTTGTAGTAGCTATTATGCATGATATACAAAATGATGAATTAATTGTTGTAGGTTATTCATAATGTCTATAGATTATACGTAATCGATGATTCATAGCTACGAGTGTAACAAAATACAGGATGAGTTATTTCAGTTGGAAAATCCACACCAACCTGTTCCTCACACTATTGGAAAAAAATAATTACTTTACTGTTTTGGCCTCAGAAGCAGACACTCTCGTTGGAAATATTTTTGGTCCTTTTTTCTGTTTAATTGCATTTTCAACATTACCGCAATTGTATGCACATTTCCAAAATTAGACTCGTAATTTGGCCCCAATTCCTTCAAATCATAAATTTTCGCTCTGTTTATTTCCCCTGTATCATAAAAATTAGATTTTTTTCTTCAGTTAATCTGAGATTTATTCTCAAAACTTTATTTCACTATAAACACAACCTCCTGGACGTGATGGAAGATGGGTCGTCAAAACACTGCTATGCGGAAACTAACCTTTTTTTTTTTAGTGGAGAAGACAGTGGTGACTTTTTCCCTCCTAAAATGACTCATCCGCTATATTCTTAAGTGGATTACATTCACATTCAAGTCTCTGTTTAACCATGTATGTAAATATTCAGAAATGAATATTTTACTTCATAAATACCCAAGCTTTGTGTAGTCATGTCATATACTGCACTTTGCATGATAGTTCACCTTATACTGTGCACCTTATAGATGCTTCTTACTTACATTGTCCACAGCTATAAAAGGAAGAAAATATAGATATTTTTCAGGCCAAAAAAAAAAAGTTTAGATGTATAAAAGTTATTGTGGGATTACTATAATGCAAACAGTATGTACGAACAATTAATTGTAAAGAAAAATGTATATATCGAATATATTTTCTTACGAATGATTATCGTAAACATTCATCTTTTTATTCAAATCTTTAATAATCACTATATCTAATAGTTCAAGAAGATTTTTCTATTTTGAAAGATTTTATCACTTAAATTCAATTTTTTTAAATTGAAATCTATGACGTGTAGTTTTGTTCATTCAGATTATACCCCCACATTCTGCTATATATCCCACAAATACACACTATATCTATTAAACATTACTTGCATACAGATTCTATTTATTATGCTTATTGTGGGCTTCCAAATATTGACTGATACATAGTATGTACCTATCTAAAAATGCATATAAAGTGTAATGATAGTTTTTTAAATATATGAATATTATAATTTTTAATAATATTTAGTTAATTTTATCTTGATGTACTGTCATTTCATCTTTCAGTTATTATTTATTGATCTTTTTCTTTAATATTTTCATTCATTACTTAAGTATGGTGAATTTACAGAAAGGTGCTGCTGTTTGAAAAATGACCAGTATTGGTGTTCAGAGTGCACCAAGGTTGTGGGTTTAATCTGCTCTAACAATAGCTTTGTAGTTTGTCAGGTGAAATGACAACAGATATTAATAGAGCTTTGTAGCTAGTAAGTTTTTGTACATGAGAAGTGCATAAATATCCACAACCCTGCATTAATGTATCAGAGAATAATTCAAAGAATCAAAAAATGTTTCCAAATCATGTCTCTTAATAGGAATGTGAAATTTAAAGTTGAATTAAAGAAAATCCCCAAAATGGTATATTCTCAGTTGCTTAATCTGTATTTCATGACATCTATTTCTTCATAAAATAAGATTGCAAAGCAGCTGTATAACATGATAATCAAAATGTTAAATTGGAGTAGTTTTTTATTGTTTTTATGATATTTTATCAATTCTCAGTAATGCTAGTTTTCTTGGCATTGTCAAACAAGTTTTTTTCATGCATCTGTATTCATCTTTCATAATTGGTGACTAATCTTGTACATTGGAAGTGAACTCAAAACAGAATTTATTTATATAAATATAAATACATCTGTAACTCTCTTCTCCAAGGATACAAAAGTTGAAATCAAATGCATATCTCAAACTTTAATTTTAAAAACAATTATCAGTTTATTCATCATTGATTTCCTTGCAAGATCTCATTGTAGAAATGTTGCTGTTGTATCAAGACTTCAGTTTCAATATTTTTATTTACTGTTACTCTTATAACTTCTCAACCATTCACCTTCAAAAATTACTCAAAACTGTCTTTATGTTTACTGCACATAGAGCCCTCTATACTTAATTGAAAAGCTTATATACTAATTGTAAAATTCTTTTTTATGTAGTGATAATTTATAAAAGAAACTTTATATCTATTCAAAACATAAATTTGAGATGTTCTACATTTTAAACAGATTATAGATGAATATTCATGATTGGTGTTTGTGTGTGTGTGTAGACCAGACATATATTTGAAGGAGTTAAAGTGTGTTCATACTATTGTGCATGCAAAAATTCTCAGAATGAAAAAGACAATGTTCTTGATTAAGGGTTGCATTGTACTTTTCCTTTGTAGCCAATGTATCATTTATAGTTGTCTATAAAGATTCTTTTCCTTCTTTGGAGTCAGTAGGATGTAGTTGAGTTTAACCATATTCGGAGAATTCTCTGTAGACTTGGTGGAAGCTCTCTCTGCGGGCCTTTGCGATTGAAATTTTCAGTATTGTATTAAATTGTGGATGAGCTTTAATTTTTAAAATATGCGTGTTTTGAAGCTTATATGTTGAGTTGGTTTCCTGGCAATATGGTCAAATTTATACTTTAGAAAGTTAAAAATCATTTAACAAGATTAAAAAGTTAAATTACTGAGGAGGCTGTAACATACATCTTAAGTACGTCATAGAGGCAAAGCCAATTTTATAGTGAAAAAATTTTGATCTTGTGATTCCACCCAAATTCATAAGTACTGTGTTCACTTAGTAAAATATGCCATAACTAGATAGACAATTTCCAGTTATTGTAGGGACAATAATATCAAGTATACAATTTTGTCAATCATAAGTTGTAAAGTAAATAAAGAGTACAATTGTGTTATCTCAGCAAAGATGATTATTTTTGCTTATATGATTCTTTTATAGACATGGATGTTTTTATTGATTGGACATTTTTCAATTTATTTTATACCTAGTAATGTACCAGTGGTTTCTGCAGGGTTTTTTTCTATGAAATATTCTTTAACCAAATATCTATTTGAACTTGATACATATATAATTTATTTATAGACATTAACATGCTCCACCACAATTTGATACATTTTTAACATTTGTTACCTTCTTTTTATCATTGTACATTTCTGGCAGAAATAGTAACAGTTGCATGAGCATTTCATTACAGTATGTATGAAATGTCATTTCAATTAATTGAAGGATATCTGTTTCATTTCAACAGTACTTGTGGAAGTAAATCTTTTGAGGAAACTGGTGGCACTTTGTATCAGCATTAATACAATAATTATTTTTTTATTCACTTCATGCTTTTGGTGGCTGTAGGGCATGGAAAAAAAGGTACTAAGCAAATTTAATGTAGCAAACGGTGATGTAATGAACAGAGGTTGCTGGAATTTGTAGGGCTTTTAGGTGTTATATGGGGTGTTAGTACAGTTTGTAATGTTAGATATTATGTGTAGATTTCATATCTCAGTGCCACTTCAATCAGTGAAGAAATGGATGCAGAAGATATGTACAAACTGCTACCAGCTAAGTAATGAAGCCAGAGCACGACTGAATAGAGGAAAATATTAAGGTAATCTGATGTGACTCTACAGATACCTGATGGTAAAACAATATTAAACTTTATGGGTTTATGATTTAATTTTTTGTGTAGTTGTGAAGGGAGAATGTTTTTATCTACACTATACTTTGACCATTTAAAATTTTTCCAAGTTGGTAGTACCAATTACTTCAGTAGTTTCTGTCCCAGATTGTTATTGAATTTTGCAACTCTTTGATCTTATAAGGATTAATTAACAATGGTAATCCTAATTCAAAACTGTTTACTCAGTTGTTCTGTGATTAAACTATATTGAATATGCCCAAGATTATTCATGAAAGGTGAAAATGAACTCAATTATTTAATTTGTGATCTACATAAATCCATTGTAACACTCTTCTCTTAATAATCAACATTTTTCTTTTAATGTGATTTCTAATCTTTAAAATATTATTGTACTTTTCTTGAACTTTTGTTTAATTAAATCAAAAGTTTAAAATTATTCGTATTGAAAAAACATGAATAATATTAATTTTCAGATGTGATGAAAATTATAAAATCAGCCTCTAATTTACATTCATTTAATAGTTAACCTTCTCTAAGAATAGATGTGGATATTCTGTGTGCAACGCAATTTTGTGAAAAGTTTATATTGTGCGTATCTACTAGAATAACTAGAATTGATTGTAACATATAATGTGTCCATCTTGTTGCCGGTGCATGTGTATATATAGAAATTAAATTGCTTGTTTTGTTGTGTACAAAACATAAGTCCTTTACTTTAGGTTTGAAAATAACCCAATAAATTAGTAACAGTTTAAATGCAGAAGTTAATTTATAAAATCAACATGTAAAGTTAATTGTATTGTAATATAATATTAACGTCAGCGCAGTTTATTGCAACTAATTCCCTACTTATAATATAAATAAATGAATATGATAACATTAAGATTTGGTTTTTCAAAGAAAATGTTCCATTTTAGTTAATTATTAGTAATCTAATTTTTTCAAAGGAAACACAGATATTTATGAATTATAGAATAGGTAAGATTATTGGTAAACAATACCATTTCCAAAAACACAATATTTTTATTTGACATTAATGTTCAAATAAGTTATGAATAATGTATCTGAATATATGAATTCGTGGAAAAGATTTACAAACCATAGGTCACTTAATTACAATTGATATCAGAAATCCTAGATCCAATATCTAAAGAGAGCAAGTAATTTCAGATGGAAAAAACATATCACTTCTCGATCAGATGAACAAAGGTTCTTATATCATTTTAATGAGAATCCTTTGGTTTTTGCACCACAGTTTCTTAACAATTTTTCCTCTTTTGTAATGTCCTGAAGGTTGTTGTTAAGAGTGAGTTGAAGTACTGTGGCTATTTCCAAGTATTTCTGAAGATAAATTTTTTTTTTTTCTTCCCAATAGAAATGACAGAAAACACAAATTTGTTAAGTGATAGATTAGAGATGCAATATATTAACGCAGCCCCGAATCATATGCAGTCCTACAATTTTACCCAATCCCCCCTCCTTCCCCTTCCCTTGGCTGTTAGAGTTGCAGTACACATCCTGATCGCAATTGACTTCCTGAATCTACATCTTGAGTTAGAGACTTTGAAATGCATTCAAAGTTCCTGTGACATATAGGCTGTAGTGAAATTGGAAAATTACAGTTAAACGCTTTCTCAGAGAATCTATGCTTCTGAGATCAAAATGGCAAAGAAAATATTTATTGCTATTATTATGAGGAACAAGCTGGTTGTATTTGTCCTCCTAAAATGATACCCCTTATTCTATTTATCAATGGTAAATAATTAAGAAAAAGTTTAAAAATAATTTGTGATGTTACACTGTGTGCTACGAAGGTGTTCTGCATAATCATATAAATACCATTGTGATTTTGTGTGAAATTTCAATCCTCAATGTTGCAAAAAGTAATAGATCAGTGTCACATTTGTTTTTTCCCAAAATTTGAATAAATTATTAATGATCCAAAAATCCCTAGTAGTCTGCTCATACAAATTTAGTAAGTTTCACATAGATCATTTATTGCATTTTTTAGTCAAGAGATATCCAGTAATTAAATGTCCTTGGGACGCTTATTACCTTGTTCTATGAACTTCCTTACACTTTGTATCATTCCAATTTTTTTTCCTTCTTCCTCTCTAATCCATTTCTGCAAATATACACATATTGTAGTCACTCTAGGAAATAAAACCCTACTGAGGTGCATGGATATTTGTTGAGACTAAAAGCCAATGTCCTCCTCAGAAAACTCAATAGCGAAGTTTTTTCTATATAAACCTTGGAGGACCCCCATTTTAATACTTATTAGTAATAATTATTTATTTGTAATTATACCTTGTTTTGTTTGAGATTTGCTAGAAGACAAATTTCCATTGATAAATACATTTTCTCTGGAGGTACATAAATTTTATTAATGCTATAATTTTTATATATTGGATTAAGTCTGTTTTGTACTTTATTAGCTAATTTAGAGAAGAAATATCTTGATGAGATAAAATTTGAAGTTGCTGAACTATTATTGGTAAGGTTCCTCACTTCTCTAAACATATTACAATTTAAAGATTAGCTCAATCTCTAAGCATTTAAATATTCTGCTGCAGGAACATGTTTTACTTTATGATTTGAAAGCATTTAAATATGTATAATGTTTTAAGTATTTGTTACATTGTTATTGGCATTTTGAAAGCAACTGACTGTAAGATAGACCTTTAACATTTGTAGCATCTCTCACTGTGATGATGACTGATTTTCAATATTCAACTGATCATCAAATTTTGTATCTTTACCCATTTCTGTTTATTTTAAGATACAATCTTTCACTAGGTAGTTTGTTCATCTTACAAATGGTGGAGAATTAAGATTGTGTTTTGAACAAATTGGGATAACTGTATAAAAATAAAATAATATGAGCCGGTCCAGATAGCCAAGATTGTTAAAGCAGTAGTGCCAAAACAATCTCAGGCCGAAGGATCGCTGGTTCGAGTCCTGCCTGGGGTATGGTTGTATTTGTGTTCGTCCTTTCACACTATGTCATGTCATCTTCACAGTTACCATAGCGTTAAATGCAATAGCGATTGGTGATGACCTAGATGTTGATGCAACCTTAAATAACAAAACAGAGCTGCTATGTGCTTCTGCTTTTGTTTGATACTAGAATATTACATGAAGTGATAATGAGTTCTGACAAGTATCAAATGTTCATTTATTTTTCAGGGCTTCAACAAGTATGTATCATTCTGTGGGACACAGTGTATTCATGTTTTTGGAAGCTGTTCTCACATTTGAACAGGTAATTTTCCCAAGTATTTTTATAAGTGTGAGTGCATGCATGTGTCTGTATGTTTGCCCATCTGGGTGCAGGGCAACCCATAGGTTACATGGGTCCCTAGACAATATTTTGTGACCCCCCCCCTTTCCATAATCTCGGCTTACAGGAGTTTTTTTCATTATCAATAGTATTGATTCAAACTTAAAAAATACAAGTGAATAAAGAAGACAAATACTTATTAGAGAAATAATTTTTTTTTCTAAGGGTCCTCGAAAGCCCAGGACCCTTGATATTTGTTGTGTTTGCCCCTCCTCCCCTCCCTCCTACCCTGCTGGTGTATGTGTATGTCTCTGCTCAAAGATTTTGCTAAAGTAAAAATTTTGTCAATTTCACCATTGGTCTTAGTTGGAAGTTTAACAAGTACATGAGTCTATAATTCCCGTTTTGAAGTTGGCATCTACCGTAGCTACTAAGGATGATGTAATTGTTATAAAAACATGTTATAAATAATGTTTTGACCGTTTGAAGAATTGACTGTCCCAGGGACAGTGGTTAGAGCTACTGGTCTTATATACCAGGAGATACGGGTTCTTTTCCTGATTGGGGCTATCAGATCTTGATGAAACCCATGTACTGGGGGGTTGAGAGGACAGTAAGTTAACCACTCACCCACTGGCGTGTGCTCGAGAATTTTATCGAAATAGAGATAATGTAAGGAAAATTCTAAGTGAAAACAGAGAGGGAGTGAGGTGGCTGCTAAGAGTATGATAAAGGTAGTAATGGTTAGGATAAAAAATAGACACCAAATGTTAATATTCATAGCTACAAATAATGCAAAGCTTATGGGTAGATATAAACTAAAATGACTTGTGCGTGTTCCTCCCCCCTCAATGTGCATGCGGTATATTTGTGGGGACTCCTCAGTAATCTGTACCTTATCTCTTGGAAACTCCCCCCCCCCAAAAAAAGTGTTCTGGTTTCGCCCGTGGTATGTGGGATGGAAGTTGTCTATACTGTGATGATTCTTTTATTCATTCATCCTAGGAAAAAACCTGATGCAAACAAACTGAAGAAATCTTGGCGCTGCACTACGCGTCTGATAGGACACCACCTAGCGCACTACTTTCGATGATGCGAGTAGCATACCCCGCCAATTCAAATGGAGTAAGAGCTGTCGAAAATATTACGTTCATGCACATTACTTATGATCAGTCTGTTTCAGGAAGCGGTTGTCAATTATTTGTATAAATTGGCTGACCTAAAATTCGGAAGTTCTTGATCACAATTCACAAACTGCAACAATTCCGCAAGCGTTGGTGTTTTGTTTCTGTACTTTTGCCCTTTTTATGCAAGGAATGCTCTTTCGATCGAACTCTCAACCGTCATCGTATGCTTCAATCACAGGTTTCTTCCCCTTTATTTTCTTCTCTGGCATTTGTAGTTGCCCCTTATCGGTGAGCTCTTTTCGGAACTTCAATATGATGAATACAGATATTCCAGTGAACTCTGTGTGATCCAGTGAATTCGGTTTACCGGTAACGACGGATTCCTATGCAACAACGAATTGAAAACGTTCAGAACGATGCGCTTTTCGTTACTTCGAAAAACATTTTCCACACTTGTGTTTAATTATTGAAGGGCCAGCCACATTCTAAAACGAACTAAATAGCAGAGCCTCGCAGGCCAATCGGCGGCGCGGCGGCGCGGTCCCAGAAGCCGCGTTCCGCGCACCTGACAACGTCGATCAGCACGGTCGTGAGCTGAAATGTCAGAAACTCGTTATCTTATCTCAAAGCAACACGCAGTCTGTTCACAATGGTCTCCTTTCTTGTAACCGTTGAAATATTTTGACGCAAGGTTAATTTAACGAACGATGGCAGATAAATTCGGTCTTATTCAGAGAACTATTTACTTTCGCATCAGGATCCCTACAACAGCAGAGCTCTCACTGCAAACCAGTGAGAATCAATCTAACACATGAATTTGTTTACATCAGGTTTCTTCTTAGGGTGAACGGATAATATCTCGTCCTTACCGCCGTGGTGGTCCGAGTCATCCATTGTGATCAGTTGAATCGTCTGCGATGAGCGTGAGACTAACACGGTGGAATTGACATAGCCCGCTGCCGGAGCAGTGTTCGCTTTTGTTTCAGGACTGGATCTTACCAGGTCTGAAAACCTCGTACTACTAGGCACATGAAGGAATGCCGTGCGAATATTCAGCAAAACTCAGAATGTAATTTAACAAATTAAACATTTGTTCTAACGATGTTTTGATGGATCATTTGTGGACCAAAAGTCGCTAGACGCGTTTATAATATCACTTTGCAGACAATCGGCAAATTTCTTGATTCAAAGTCTTTGTTTACGTCGGTAAGCTCGCGCGTAGCTCCTTAGCAACCAATTATTTAACAACGCATTAAGAGCGCGTCCATAGTAACGACCGTTAAAATGCTCGAGTGTCCATTAAAAGATTTTAGCGGACTTTCAGGTTTAGATTTTTATCAGTGCTCATAAATCTTTGGATAAATATGTTCCCCTTGTCCTTTTTATCCCATTTCGCCCCTTTTGTTTCCCATGTCCCTTTGCCCCCCCCCCCTTTTGCGCTTGCCCCTTAGCTCATTTTTGTCCCCTTGGCCCATTTTGTTCCGACGCTCATCTTGTCCCGTTTTATCCCATGTCCTTGCGTGTGATTGGCGTGAACGACAGTATGTTCCATTGAAAATGCCACTATAACCTTTGTAGTCGTCCATACCGGTATAGACCTATAAAGGGATTTTACCGGTATAAAATAATAAAGGTATTTGATAGAGGTATGAAATAATACTGGTATTTTGCCGGTATTTGCCGGCGCCAAGAAATAAAAACCCTCACAGCTGCCGCAAGAGTCCATTCCTCAAACTTGCCGGTTTAGGGGGAGGGCGTCCTGTCCTAGGACGTGTTGACAGTCCTATTCCAGTTGTATAAACATTGACCCTGACTATTCGTCTCCGCGACGTGCAAGGTTTCAGATGAGTTTCACTACCAGACTGAAGCGATTTGTGTGAAGTTGTGTATAAGTGATTATTATTTTGTTGTGATCATTGCAATGAATCTGGTTCAGAGCAAGTTGCATAAGAACGTCTTTCAGTCAGACGCGTAAGTCGTTGCAAAAGTATATCAATTTATGGAGAGAAGCATAAGAAAGCAGTTCTTAGGGGAGTAGTTGCTGCTTCGCGTATTTTGAAAAGATCTATCCGCAGAATTAATGAGGAAATGAATTCTATTCAATCGGGAGAAAGGTGTTCATTTTCAACTCCTAATAAAGAGACGAAGAGTAAGAACTTGAAATATGCTCTCTGCGGTTTCAATGAGTGTGTGATTCGCCGCACAATGAGTTAATGCACCGTATCAAGAAATCGTGTTTTTTACCGGAATCTACGCAAATGATAGTCACGACAGTGATACTGATACTAGTAATGATAGGAAACGGGTATCAGTGACAGTGGAAATGATATCAGAACTGTGAATTTGATGTTTCTTCACGAGGAAGTTTGCTAGCACGTGCGGTGCTGTAGGCTAATGTTTTTGATATGGGCAAACGAGCCAGCGCTAGCGAGCGACGCTTCCTGGCTTTCTCCCCACCACTTTCATCTTCCCCCTCTACTCGCGAATCCCAGCGGCCACCCTTGAAAAATGTAGCTGTACAAACTTAAATTTCTAATGATGTAATTATTTCACGCGTACATTTCGCCCCAGCGAAGTAATTCCACGTCAAATCGCACATTCACTAAACAACACTATTTTTTAGCGACTTGAAACTTTTTTTTGAGTTCTAGGGTTAAAAATAGGTGACACGTATACTTTTTCTAATCCCACCCTTTTCAGAAATATTCCCAATTACTTTTTCCGAAGAATGATGCGCGCGCTAATGTTTAAAATTGTTTTGCGTGAATACCGTTTTCTTCGGAAAAATAAAATTACACTTAACTTTAACTGAAAGAGATGTACTTTCATGTGATGTAAATATACTTTTTGTAAACACATTATTAAAATATTTAAAAAAATAATTTTTAAAATGCAAATTTGTACGTTAGGTCGACACTTAAATTAATTGTAAAAAATTCTCTTGCATTTCTACACTAATTTCGATCTGCTAAATTTCAAAGTAACATTTTTAAAAATTGTTAGTTCACTAGAGCACGTAGGCAGCCCGCTGCCCGCCGGACTCTCTTCTCGAACTACGGGGTGTTAATGACACGGCGCATAGTGACGTCCAACGTAAAGCAACCGTGATACTTATGTCATGATACGAATCGCAAAAATACACATACGGTCTCAAATGGAAATCTTCTGACGCAGTACGAGTATGAAGTTTATTTATTAACATCTGACACTTCTAGGGTCTGCCTGAATCAGAGCCGCCTTCTTTCTCAGATATACGGAGTCACTTATGTAAACAGAGGAATCCACGAAACATGTGCGTTGTTCTGTGAAGTTAGTAACCACAGATAGCCTTACAATAATATCAATACTATTGTTATTTTATTTTTCTTAATATAAAAATATATAATCGCAGAAGAAGCGTACGTTTAGGTTGTTACAACCATCATTCTTCAGAAGTTGGAAATTGACTGCTGTCAAAACAGTTATATTATTGAAAAAAATTTCAAAGTGCCTTTTCTTGACGAGTCAAGTGAAGTTTTTTCAAGAAAGTGAGAATCGACCGTACTTGTTAATGCCACGAAGGTGTTGGGCAGTGACAATGATGAATAAACGTGCACTGCTAGTTCTGGTCACCCTAACCTAACGTACTTGTATCACTTGACAAGAGTAATAAAGAAACTGACCGAGTAAGTTCGTCTTGTTTCTTTTGTTGACTTCGCCCATGGTTTGCCGTCTGCTCTCTTCATGAGACAAAAATAAAATTTGACCCTGGGAATTTTCATTGTCGAGTGTGATGTTTTTAGAAAAATATTCTTTCGTACTTGAAGATTTAATTCAGAGACTGCTGTGAATTAATGCCTTATCTATTCTGCATTC